AAATTGAACATTATTTTCATTAAACCGCTTGTCTTCTTTTAATTTGGTATGGACTGGTCGTGGTGGTGGGGGGCAGGTATCAGGGCACCCAAAACCCCCACCCCGAACTAAAATTTTAAACACAATTAGGCCTAGAACCACCTTATACGGACAACAGAAAAGTCTTCACTTGCGGCTGGACAAATGTGTTGAAGGAACCTGTTCAACTTGATTATGTGATTGAGCTCTTCGGACTGCATACGTATACCTATTCCACTGGCACATTCACTCAAACAGCGGTGCAAGATCTACATTAGCCCAGTATCGACAAAATGGGGGGGGGTTGATATCAGCCACACTTTAACCACGCTCTAACTAGTAGCATGGTACTATAGCCAGCACTGTATTTAATGATGTAGTAAACCGTACCAAGATAGGGTCTGGTCATGCTCAACATCCTACTTCAAATTAAATCGTTTTTACTCACCACATTTTCCACTAGAAGACACCTACATCTCAGAACGGCTACAGAAGTCCACAGGGGTGATGGCAAGGTGACGCTATGATGCTTTTGGACAGTTTGGAGGCTTTTATATTTGTTGGGGGTTATGTGTCCCCTGCACTTGGCGACGTTTATTGTGCTCACCAATGCGGATCGAACAGTGTAGCAAGAGAGCTAGGGAGGGCGCTATTCCATCCAGGGATGCGCCGAAACTGTCCTTTCGAGCGGGTGATTTTAAACACCCGGCGTGTTAAATGCGTACACTGAGGACGGCTTCCATATGCCTTGAAATTTCGCTGACCCTCATAAATGCTGACTGCGGCCTCAAATTTCACCTTATTGCGAACTGAGGACGTCCTCGATTTACAATCCGACCTCGATTCGTGGCTGTGTTAATACATAGAAGAGCTCCGTCTGCACCTTTCACAAGTACTACATGTACACACACACAGTCCAACACCGGTCATTAGAGCTCACTGTGTGTTAACCCAGTGAGCTCTACTGGCCAGCCAGGCGGAGCCACCGGTGTCTGTTCACCCAGCAGAGTCCAACACGCACTATTGCAACCAAGATGCTAACCTGATAGTACCAGCTCAGCCAAAATTAAACACCATCAGCATGGACATAGGCCCTATTGTACTATATCTAGCATAGTCCAACACCATGTGCTTACGGTATGGTACTAAACCAGCCAAAACCTAGCAAAACCTGCTGTTGGAGTTTGATGGGCAATGAGCAGTTAGGTGCTACTGGAAAATGCTACATTGCACTTGAAATGAACATACTTCTAGAACTGAACCAATGGTACAGTGCACTCTCATAAACACCATTGTTATAACAAAATACTGTTACAAAGAAAAGATTTTGAGAATCCCACTTTCTTGAATCTTATATGTTCTTTGTTTTTCTACTCTTTGTAATAAAGTCCTAGTTACAACAGCTTTGTCATAAGGAGAGTCAACTGTACATACCGCGCCATTATTGGTGTCACTTAAAATTATAATGGCTCAACAAAGATATCCAGCATCTTTCAAAAGCTCAATATTCTTCATTATGTCCCCACAAAAGTCATTTCAGAAAGGTTATTTCACTCTTTGCCATTAGCATGATTAATTGTTAGATATTAGTATCAGTTACATGTACAAGAAATCAGACCCCCCCAAAAAATAATTTACAATATTTGATATGAAAAGACTCATATTACCTACCTCTGTACAAGTTATGATTTAACTCCGGAAGTTGAAGCGCCTCTTCTGCATGCCAACCATCGCTTTAGCTGCAGCACTGTTGCTGACAAAGGGTCTGTTTCAAACTGTGCACCTGGAATATCATCCTCCGTTGAAGATGATGCATGATTGTGTTACACATTGGCACAATTCTGCACATTCTGTTAGTAGGGAGATGAAAACTACATTTATAAATTTGAGTTGTTATAATCTGAAAAAAGTCAGTTTCTCCCAAGGCTAACAGCAACACGCTGTTTATTGCACTTTTTCAACAATTAAATAAATTTTTGTGAGAGAAAAAATCACCCTTGATTGTCTTTTTTTAAGGGCACAAATTATTCTAAGCTAAAAATAACGTGATTGTTTTTGGTCAATGCAGGATGAATGAGCTACAAGTCATGAGTTTGATTGGGCAATAGTATTCACAATCTCAGTCAAGGCATGGTCTATGACCAGATTGTATTGTTGAAGGGATTCCCTGAATTTTCCTTTTCTGTCATGCAATACTTCAAAGTTTGTGAATACATGTATCGTCATCCCAAATCTATAATGCAACACTGTGAAAAGAGGATGACTTGAGCTGGAGTATGAAATAATATGGTAACATATTGTTTTGCAGGTACATATTGTTTTCCAGGTTCTGCATAAAATGTATTGCTTGCTTGTCATCCAAACCCATAATGCATTGCAAAACAACAAAAGGTTTATTATAGGTAGGGGAATGACTAAATGAGCAAGAGCGCTGTTTATTTGGAAACTCATTTTCTTAAATAGTCTTTTTGCGTGCAGTTCTATTTTCAATTTTTTTTTGAAATTTGAAGTAAAGCCTGCATTTGATTCATTGAACTAAGGCACAAATAAGAACAAAGATTTTACAAAAACATAAATGTTAAGCTTTCAGTTAAAATCCACACTCATTTTTGTGTACAAAAAACTTACAGTTTGCTGTGCATTACACGTGTACAAAACACATCTCAAAACATCCCCACTTCAAACAGATTTTTTTTGCTTTGCAGAGTCCGACAGAATCCAAATTTATATCAAAATATTTCTTACGACATTCTCTTCAAGATAACATCAGTAGAGTGATGTAGGCCTTATAATAGGGAAGGTAATATTCAAATATTTATTAATTTATGGTGCGGAGTGGTACTAGTAAGTACTAGGCCTAAGCCTTGGATGGTTTCTACAAAAAACCTAGCCTTGCCAAGCCGTGCACATAGTGCAGCTTACAAAAGAAGAGAGGGACTGCAAAAATAACCACGACTTTTGTCAGGGTAGGCCTGGGCTATATTCTGAAGTGTCTCATGAAGTTGTTGCATTAGGCCTATATTTGACCAAACTATTTAGAGATACTCACCAAAGTTTCATGCACAAAATACTACAAATGGAATCATCCAGCTTTTAGCGAACGAGGCCTGTTCCCCCTTGGGGTAGATGTCAAGTGCCAAGGATAGCCAGCTGTATGTACATGTGCATGTAGTGGAGGTCGCACAAAAACTTCCCTTCCTATCCTTGACAACATAACCCCCGGAAGTGAAAAAATCGGTTTTTGACAGCGTCCCCAGCGTTCATAGATTGGGGCACAACAAAACGCAAAAGGCGACGGACGACGGCAGATATGGAATTCCATACGATGGGCCTTTTGCACCGACTAAGAAAAGTACCATAGGCCTACATACACCATGCCAAAACGTTAGCAAGTCCTGAAAACAAAAAGTGGTTTTCAACATACCTGCATCAGTTGACCATCTTTTGAGTTGTTTTTGTGGGAAAATGGTACCATATGATGTCCCACGCTTCACCAATGACGTCCTTTTTTGTGCTGAAAATCAAAGATTGTATAGCGCAGCGCTATACAATCTTTGATGAAAATCGTGAAGTTTCACAAAACTTCGAACGCAGCATGATCACGCGGGCCGCACGGACACGAGTAACACATGTACAGCGCGCTCAATTGGAAAAGGCCAGTAGCGCTAACAAGATGAGACTACTTGAGATTCAAGCTTCGTCAGAGCATTGGTCCAAGTCACTACACACAACGTACACGGAGCAGTGACTTGGAGGTCAAGTAGTACGAGAACCGCGCTCTCGTCGACGTCGCTTCACTTGGCAAGTTTGTGATACCTTGGCGTTAACACCCTTCTACCTTTAATTTTTTTTTCAGTTTAATGCTGATAAATGCAGTGCCCTCCCCCATCCCAAGAGAAATGCCAACACCTATGCCTAACTAGATCCGTTTTAGAAAATGAAATATTTCCACAAAATAAATCGATATAAATCAGAGACTTTTTTTATCTTATTCTTTCATTCAGGAAAAAAAGATTTGAGCTATACCTTTTAAAAATCTTCATATTCGTTGGGGTGTCCTCATTAAATAATTTTTCCTTTAATAGCTTCTTAAATTTCTGGAGCACTTTTCAATGATGAGAGTATCCATGAGGCATAACTTCCAGGTTTCTTACATATATACAAGTAACTTAAGAGGAACAGAAAGTTGCAAAAAGGGAGCAATAAAGTGCAGTTCAAATCATGGACATATTATTAATGTCTCAGGCTACATATTTTATTTCAGTCGATTAAAATCCTCCGACTATTACACCGATTGCAGAAATTACAAAAAGTACATGGAGTACTCATCTAGACTTCAAAATCATTTTGTGCACAAAAATTCCCTTGGTTTGCCTCAAGTGTATTGACCTTGAGTGGCATAGAACAGGCCATACAAGATGAACTCTGTACTCTTTAACCCATATTTCTCCAAAATGTCTAAAAGGCAAAGGGCTTGTATTTATTTTACATAAGCCTGACACATAAACAAGCCCATTTTTGATTGGTGAACCATTTTGGAATACAAGATGCATAGACTAAAGGCACTTAGAAGTTTCCTGAAGGAGACTGGACCTGTTCAGTACTAAAGCCTTAAGCTTTCTATTTTATTCTTCTATCACAAGGTGTTGCCATCTTAAGACTCACATCTGTGGCTTTCACGACCAGGTATGGCACATCGGATAGTGAATCTTCTGTTTATGGAAAAAAAATCAAACTAGTGGAAATGAAGAAACATGAATAACAATTTTCTTCTCAAATCTTCCACCCCTTTCCTCTTGTCCACTTGCAAGTGGGTATAATTTTTTGACAATAATTTTAACTCTTGAAAAAGGTAAGATACGGCCATCAACACAGCCAAATACCATAAATAGTGATTTACACCAGTCATTTGAAGAGTACTTGTAACACATTTCTTACCACAACCTCATACTTTTCAACAATATGGGACATGCCCATGGAGTGGTACATACTACAACAGGGACATATATGCACTGCTGCCAAGTTCAAATTCAACACACAGTGTACCTTCACAGATTTCTCAGACTTTGTGTGTGCTTAAAAAACAAACAGAGCATTGACATGTTTAAATGTCAGTCGAGTTGATCAAGTCAAGGTACGCGGCTTGAAGTTTGAAACCATTAGCATGTAGGCCTACCTGTGTATATATGGCCAGATCATGGTTACATCCAAAGTGGATTTAGAAAAAAAAAGAACACATCTTGTTCAAATACAGACATTCTAGAA